ATATATATTTCTGTATGCAGATGATGTTATGTTATTGGCTGAGAACCTAAATGATTTGCAATTAATGTTAGATAGGCTATATACTGTAACAAGGAGTATGGATCAGAAAATTAATGTATTAAAGACAAAAGCAGCTTTGTTTGACACAGAACACAGAGTGAACAACTGAGAGTTATACAAAAATGGTGAAATAGAAAAGCAAGTCAATGATATGTACAGTATATCTTGCTAGAATGTTTTCTAAAGTCAGGAAATTGGATGGAGAAATGTTAAGATGTGCAAGTCCTATTAGAAAGGGAGTGGCCAGCATGTGATTTGTTTACAAGGAATATAACAATTGTGAAAAGAAGCAAAAATGTCAGTGTATAAGAACATCTTCTGATTATTTTGTTATATGGAAGTGAGATTTGGCTATGTCTAGAGAACATTAATTGAATGCAGTAGAAATGGGCACTTAAGAAATGTCAAGCAAAAAGTCAAAAAAAGCAATAAAGGGGTCAAGAGTGAATGAGTGTTGTTTGAATACAAAAGTGAGTGACCTGTAGAAAATAAATAAATTGAGGTGGTATGATCATATAGACAGAATGAACAAGGATCAAATTGCAAAACAAATATTTGAAGGAAGAATGAATGGGTTGAGAATAGAAGACCAAGAAATCAGATGGTCGCAGACCTCCAAGTCACTATAGTAAGTAACTACACAAATTACTTTATTTATTCTCTTACACAGGGTTACACATACTGCCATGAGGTGCTGGTGGAAAGGTAGCATAGTATCTTTGTCATCATATAAGGATATAAATCTAACCAATAAATAAAATAATTCCAGCCATCTGTGACAATTGTTATTCTGGTGAATGCTCATGAAAACTAAAATCAAACAATATTTGGGGGTCATACTTTCCCTTCCCAATAAAAGAAACCCCCAAAACCAATAACAGAATGGCTAAAAGGTGGAATGTATTTGCATGCTTTACTTTTTAAAACCTGAAATCACAACCTTTGCATGAAATCATCAAAATTTCTACTTTCAAACTTTGGCTTTCAAAGCAATTCTCAGGATTGCAGGAACAAAGACTGAAAAAATCCATGATTACAATGTCTTCTCTATCTTTTGTACACAAACATGGTTAGGCATCACTGGCTGAGTCTAGAACCTTAAGCAACAAAGCAAGTTTAGATGGCATTGACTGACACAGCAATAGCAAAAGATAGCAAGCGATATTTTGAACTACTCTCTCCCACTAATGCACATAACCTGCAGGGAATGTATTGCTTTATTTACTACTTTCACATACTGCCACACTATACAAGGCTTTGCAAAACATACTTTGTTATGAGTTATTAATGACAATTCATATGCTAGCCTTATCTAGTCCAAGGTCACATACATTACAGGCTTCTGGCAAGCAGGAAAATAACAACATGTAATCAGAGTACAAACCAATCAGTCAAAAGAAGGCAACAAGGAATCATTTCTCATTATTCAAGGGAAGATGCAGCAAGCATGGTTCTGTGGCAGTTTGGCTCTGAGTTTTAGGTATCAGCAAGGAGCAATTATAGCAAGAGTTCTACAAGGCTTCACATGCAATGACTTTATTCCAGCAAAACTTCCCAAGTTAAGCTTTCTTAAATTAGAAACAATATCTGCCCCACGTGCAGTTGATTTTGGCCTTCTGTCTGCTGGCCCTCTATGACAATTGGGTAATAGAACTGTCAATCAAAGCATAGTAATATAGAGCACCTCCTCCAATTTATAAATGCATAACTGAGCTTAGTGGGATTTGGGGGTGGTATGGGTGGAAGAAAGGGTCTGAAGGAAGCTTAGAGGTGTAGCTCCAGAGAAACCTCAATCTGTAGGAGTGGCAGGTTTATGAATATATATTTAGTGCCAGGAAAGACAAGGATTGACAGCTGATAGTTATGCTAAGTTATTAAGGGAACCTGTTTACAACCTATTTTAAGTTACTTAATAAAAGTTCATAGAGTCCTTGTTTAATCTTAAGGAAGTGATTTTGCTCTTTCATGTCATCCCCACAGCCCACCTACCTCAGATATGTATAAAGAAATAGAGAGATAAACAAAAGCATTTTCAGCTCAGGAGTGGGTTTAGTGGTAGCAGCAAAACAAATGCATCCTTTAGAGCAGTGTTTTTCCAACTTGGCAACTTGAAGATTGAGCATGAAACTGAGCAAACTCAGGGAGGCAGTGAAGGACAGGAAGGCCTGGCGCAGTATGGTTCATGTGGTCATGAAGAGTCGGACACGACTTAACGACTAAACAACAACAACAACAAACTTGAAGATATGTGGACTTCAACTTCCAGAATGCTGGCTGGGGAATTCTGGGAGTTGAAGTCCACACATCTTCAAGTTGCCAAGCTGGAAAAACACTGCTTTAGAGATATCCTGGGATTAATGGAATTATTCTTTAATTTTGAAGGAAGAAAGGAAAATAAGAAGAGAATACCTGCAACAGGGAGAGAACACAACTCCCTCTTCATAGACTAGTCCTACTAGGCCTGGCTGAAGTGGTGTAGGCTAGCGTTCCTCTGTAACTTTGACTTTTGTTTAAACTTTTTAAATACAAATGTCTTTTCCTGATTCTCCTCATCACCTGTAGAGCTCATGGGGCAAGGTCATGGCATGAATCCAGGAATATAGGCTAGACTGGGAATGCAAAGACAATGGAAAACCATTTCCCTACTGCTACCAAGAAATCTATATGAATGTGTTCATGATGTCACCAAGAATCAAACTCAGCTTGATTCTTGGTGATATCAATAGCCCCTTCAAACTCTATCACTCGGTATAGGACCGGTGGGCAACCTGAAGACTGGCGTTAGCATTAAATGTATCGAAGAGGACCATAGTGGGAACAACTATGATGGAAAATGGGCAACCACATTATACCCATTGAAGGGACTGGAATTTCCCTGGTTTTGAAGGTGGTTTCAAGTATTTCTCTACAATTTTCATCCATTTCATATCTTGTGGGAAATTGCATTGCCAATGTTTGGCATTCACCCAACTGAACTTCATTAATAGAGTCAGAGGGAGTTCTGGGAACCACAAAAAAGGGCTTTAGAGGCTTCAGATTGCCTATCCCTGATAGAGAAATTAAACAGCCTTTAAGAGTTATGTTGCTATTCTGGTTTCAGGGGAGAAACATGCAGCTTTCTTCACTTCTTTCATATTTCCAATGTGCATATAGCTAACATATTAGCATATACAATATACATTATTATACTATCCCACCTCTTCCCCATTAAATTATATAAAAGATGACATGTATGAGAGTCCAGCTTTTTCCAATCTGGCATCCTTTAGGTATGTAGGCCTACAACACAGCACAGTCTTCTTTGGCTGAGGAGGAATGGCACTTGGTCCAACATAGCTGAAAAGCACAGGTTGAGAAAGATGGGTATTAACTCTTACACTTCAACTTTGCTATAAATAAATGATGAAGAAATATCCAGAGAAAGTCATTTAGGGATGGGCTAAAAAAGTAAGTACAATTCCAAAGAATCCTGTGTACTAAGAGCCTATTGTGCAACTTTCTGTTTATTTGCCTTACCAAGGAAACCTAAACATTTATCTTGAGAAACCTCTTCAAGAATTACAGTATAGCAGCCTAACCATAGGAGCCTCCTTGAATACTTCATGGCTTATTTCTAAGGAAACATGCACAGGGTTGCCCTGTACGTGGGCTCAAAGTCATCAGTGGAGTGATGCATCTTAAAACCAAATAGTGCACAAATAGCAAACTTTTTTAAAGTATTTGGACACACACAGTGTTGTACATCATTAAAGGCTCTCGGTCAACTTTTAACTTTTGGATAGTAATTTACTTAGAAATAGCCTTCTTGGAAAAGGTTATCATGTTTAATACCAACAAATGAATTTGGCCCTGCCTGTGCAACATAGATTGCAAAGCACACTGAGTAGTACTTTTTACTTAAACAGGTAATAATAGTAACAACAACAGCAATATTATGAATATGGCAGGCTTGCTATACAAATATATATACCTATTTAGCAGCTTTTCCCAGCCTGATGTCCTCGAAATATATTGGACTACAACACCCTTCATATCCAGCCAACATTGGCCATGAATTGTAGTCCAGCAGGTCTCATGGATACTAGATTGGGGAGGGCTGTTGTTCAAAACTGCACTGTTATTGCACTCGCGTACATGAACATTTATTTCTTTGTTGCATTTATACCTCATTTGTTCCTACATGAACTCACAACAGTATGCACTGCCACACACACTCATTTGTATCTTCACAATAACACTTTGAGGTAGATCAGGCTGAGAAATAGTAATTCAGTAGCTCCATAGTTGAGCTTTGCAGTCTAAGGCCACCAACTTATCTCACAAACCATAATGTTCCCCACCAGAACACCTGGAGGAGTAATGAAATCTGCTAAAACCACTTTCTGCTTTTTAAATTAATATAGACGACATCCCGAAGAAGCGCGGCTTCTCTCTCCCCATTCCGATCCAGAGGTTAAATAGGAACCTATTGGAGACAGTGCCCACCCCCCATCCCCGCCCCAAGGACAGGATCTGGCTCTGTGCTCCCAGGGACCATGGATCGGCGCCCCGAGGCGCGTCCCCGCCGGAGACCAAGTCGCCCTGGGCGAAGCTGCGAGTGTCAGCCACGGGCCGGGGCGTCCGGGAAGCGCGGCTCAGAAGGCGCTTTCCGAGGAGAATCCGAGGCCACAAAGGATCCCAGGCCAGCCGAGGAAGAGTCTGCACAATCGTGCCCAGCGGGGACGAGAGGCGAGTGACCGCCAGTTACCTCGCTGCAGCAGCCAATCTTACCGCCGCCAGGAGACAAAGCTGCGCCGCCGCTGCCTACCTCGGCTTTCTACCTGGGCGACCGCATCGTTGCTCGCCGAAGCCACCTAGCCAAGCCTAAGCCAGCCCAGCCTAGAAAGAGAGGTGCCGAGACCCGGATAGGCCGAGCCCAAGCACTAACTCACCCCGAAAGGGACCGTTTTACTGCTGGATGCTTCCCAAGGAATGGGATGATTCAGCCGCTAGAGCGTCCACCGGCTTCCTGGAACTGGTGCAAGAGGCATCTTTCACTCAGCGCCCGGAGCCTTTCCCTATTCGAGGAAAGGAGGAGAGAGAAGAAAGCGGGCTGGGGCTCGGTTGGGGCTTGTTTCCTCCATTGTCCTCCCCCGGTCGTTGCCCTTTTGTCCCCAAGGTAGTTCGCCTCGGCGCGAACCTCCTCCTTCTCCTCCCACCACCACCAGCCCGTCTCTTGTCATTTGCGCGCTCTTCCAGGCGTGCGGCACACCGGCTGGCGCTGGTTTGGCGGAGACTTGGAAGCCCCGCGCATGCTCTCGCGGCCTGCTCCCGGCCCGTGAATGAAGTCTGAGGTTTGGAGTGTTGAACCAGCCTGGCCAGCGGCTACCGCATTCCGCCAGTCAGGGCTGGCAAATCGCTTCTCCTGTCAAGTTAGCGGCGTGAGAGACGAGTGTGCGCGGGGAAAAAAATCGTCGGAGCGACCGAGAAGCACCTTTTTCGATATGGAGCAGAGGTGGAAGCTTGGGAAAGTGGAAGAAGCCTTGAGAAAAACGCTTGAACGGCTGGCAAATTTGCATTCCAGAAAGGCTCTCACCTTTGGCCTCCTTTTCACGCAGCGTCTTTCTCACGACGGACTGGTTGCTTAATTTTCTGTATAATATCCATGAGATGACTGCGGTGAAACTCTTGAGATTATGGAAGGCTACGAAGTTTTTTCACAATAAAAAAATGGACGATCTCCTCGCACCTCGAAGGCTGATGTGCAACCCTATAGTGCAGACTATATTCCTTAGTGGACATGTATAGTTTACTCAGAAGCTAATTGTAGAGCCTTTCCCATAGACTCCTCTATGAGGTGTTTGGGTAGGTCCTTCTTCTTTCATATCTTTGCTGCAACAGTGTGACAACCCTGCACCTAATTTCAAAAACTCTGTGCAAGTGATCATTTCACAATTCTAGGTGGGTCACCTGCTCCTCCGCCAGCCCAGAGGATGGAGAGAGAACAAATGAAAGATGGATGAATCACAAAGAGAGTGAAAGCAACCCATCTGGGTCTGTCCCTTACCTCTTTTTGGCTCTGGCCTATCTGCCACTGACAGGCAGTCCTCAACAGACCGCCCACGAGATAATTTCAAGCTGTTGCTTGAAAAGAGTTTAATTATCCTTCCTGTAACAGGCTGATATGGCTCAGCAACTAGCCATGTTGAAGACATCTGTTGCCATATGCTAATGCATCCCCTGAACCATCTAGCAGGTTGTAATGGGCAGAAGGAATAAACCCTGGGGAACAGAAGGAATAGCTGCAGCCAGGACAATGGTCAAATAAAAGAAATCTGATTCCAGGGCAGAAATGTAATTTGAGAAAGCATCTCAGACAGGACCTTCCCAAGTTTTCTTGAGGATAGAGGGAGGGAGGGAGGGAGATGTATTCAGACTTGCAGGACTCTGTTACTGTAAACTTATAATAAAAGTAGCACTAGCATTCATAACCTTGACTTCCTAGTCCAATCTACCTTGAATGGCTGACATACAGTAACTCTATAGTTACATCAAACAATAGGTCTTGCATGCTTAATTTTTCTACTAATACAGTATCTGAGAAAAGGGAGGGAAATGAGTGATTTTATCTCAACTGGATTATAGGGATAAAGGGTTTCAAAAATAAGTCCTCTACATAAGGGGAAAGCACTCTTTGGGTCAGTAGGCACATCTGGCATTTTGACCCAATGTCAAGGGCAATCTGATATGAGAAGAAGGGGCATATATGTTCAGAAAAGTTGGGTTGTACAGTAGGCTTACCCCTGTTCACCTGAGCTATGATTTAATCAATTTATATGACATATAGAACACCAACCAGCCATGTGGAGTGGGTTTGCATAACACCTAAGCTGAAAGGTAGTTAGCTTGTCTGCCTCAATGGCACAGTGCACAATCAAAATGGCAGTTGTGGGGATGAGTTGTTTGCTTCTTCAGCAAATGATGGCCATGATGGGCTTGCCATAAAACATCCATTAATAAGGAAGGCAAACTGGTGAGATATCTCACCCCACCCACACTAGTCCTGCAGCATGATTTATATTATACGTATTTACCTAGGCTAGAGCCCCAACAAAGCACTGACTGGAGCAATCTATGGCTGTTATTTTGTAAAAGTGTCTCTAGGATAGAGGAGTCCAGAGGGAGGAGGTCAAAAAATTGTACCTGGACCCATGCAATCAGAGCTGCCATTTTGACCTTCTTGCACCAGCCTCCCCCCTTCCTGCCGCCCTGCACAAGCCACTGGTTTGGGATCTGTGTGAAGCCTAGGATTCTTGGACATGATGCTGGAAACCAATTGCTAGCACAGCAAACCATAATGAAGCCAGAATTATATGAATGTGGTTACATCATCACATAAATGCTACAATTCTGTACTTGTATCCTGACATCTGATTAAATAAGCTGCAGCCTCTGCATGTGATATCATCACATACCCCCATCCCCAGTGGATGCCCACGCTGGAGACATCCTTTGCAGCATACTGGTTTTGCAATTATTACTTTTTAATTGTAAAAAAAAAAAACCTTAAAAAAAAAAACAAGGGAGGCACCTCATCTCCTGTTCCTGCTTAGCAGTTCCAGACCTGTAGCACCTCCCTTCACTCACTGTGGCTGCTATTTAAAATGCAGCACACAAAGTACATGGTTCAAGTTGTTTCCCAGCACCCATTAATTTGAGATCCGTTAACTAAAGATACAGGGATCAATCTGCTGATTGTCTGAATTCCAAATGTACTCAAGTGCCAGGCTACAATAGTGCCCTCCTTTATGTCCTGTTGCAGGATGAGCATGCTCCAAGAGTCGAGTTTGAAGTGATTCCTTTTGGCTTTGCAAGCAATTACAGGGAATGACAGGCAGACCACGGGTATGTACAAGAACACACACACAGCAGGGATGCATACAAAAGCATAAGGGACTAACTAAGAAAGAGGCCAAAGTAGCACATGGATAGCATAGTCCAGTCACAGCCCAAGGTTCATGCATCACAGAAAGGTGGTCAGCTGCTCCAGGGTCAGAAAGCCAAAAGTTGAAGATACACATGGGATTTAAGGCACAAGGGCACGGCATCAAGGTTGGAATACTTCCCAATAAAAAGATAGAAGGTGGCAGTTGTTCTAATGTAGGCCAGCCACCAGGTCAGACCCAATTAAGGGCATTGCCACCCTAGTTTTGTGAGGATCCAAGCAGAGTACTTCTCTTTGGGTTTCTACAGTACATGGCACATTCTCAGAAAGATGGCTGCTCAGGACCAGGACCCCCCATCATCTGACTTGTGGCACTGATGATCATTGGAGTCAGCCTCAGGTGCTTGGTTATTTCCAATTGCTGAGGCTGATGTTTATTGGAGCAGCTCCTCCATCTCAGAATCCTGTGACTTGTAGGAAACCATGACACTTTAAGGTGAACTAGATACTGGGTCCTCATCATGGCACCCATGGATGCCGGTGAGCTCAGCAACATCTTTGTTGGTGTCCTTGTCCATCTGACTTTTTAATAAACATCTAGGAGGAGGAGGAGGAGGAGGAGCCAGCAATGTACTGTAAAGCACTAATCTGTATATTTCCAGTTATGTCTCTAGGCCTCATAGAGGTGTCAGAGAAATTCTCAGAAAATATAAATGGTGGATCAAGGATTTTTTTGAAGAGTTTCCATCTGACCAGAAAAAAAAAAATAAATTTAGCATGCTGTGTGAACGCAATACATGATCTTATTCTATGGCTAAGCCATACTTTCACCATGGTAGTTTTAATAAATCACAATGGCTGGTGGATTCACACAAATGTTAATCCATAAAAAATCAACGTTTGTTAGGGTTTTCTGTGATGTGCTTTGCTGTTATGGTTCATAAATCATGGTCTATGGTTTACTGTATTGTGTGATCCCAGGTCACCATGGTTTATTTGCAGAATCATATGGCTCAGCATGTTGGGTAAACTCAGCAGGCTTCTTTGGGTGTGACTGGGTGTCAAAATAGATTCCCCAAATCTCATGCAAAGTCTTCTGTTTTGTATGTTTGGGAGACAAGAAAGGGCAGTAAATACTTGCTACCAAATTTCATTGATGTACTGAAATGCATGGAACCTGTAAATTGCCTTCCCCACCATAAAACGCATACTACGAACCACAAAGGTTTTACACATTACCTTGGTCACAATGTTTGTGGCCTGATTTTCTGGCTCAGCTTGTTGTAGGCAAAGTACACAGTCACTGTAGTTTGTAAATCACATGTTATAATTCATTGTGTTGTGCAAACCCAGTCATTTGGTATTTGTTTAATAAACAATAGTTAAACAAACTCTGGTTTAGCATGATCCAAACATTGGCATCACTGTTTAAAGGGATATCAGGTGAATGACCAGGGTAAGAGCTACATGTATGCCTACATCCAGCATTATCTGTTTAGGTAGACTAAAAGCAAATGAATAGGAAATTCTGCCATTGCTTTATTCTTCAGAGTACTGAAGAGCTGGGATCACTGCGGTTGCTTTTTTTCTCAATTTCCTGGTTGTCTAGAATATCAGTACATCTTGAGTGAGACAGAGCAAACAAACTGGCCTGAATAGAGGTAGTTATGCTGCTTTGTTTTCCCAATAATTAATCTGTCGATAACCAAGTGGGAAAGATCTGCTCATGTAGCTGGAAAGCTGATAGTAGCTGACTGTTCCGTATATAGCTGGTGGTCTGTCTACCTTCAGAGGTACTCAGAAGAAACAGAGAAAGTAAGTAGAAAATTGGCTGCCACTCACACCGGTCCTAACTTCTGGATAAGTATTTCTGTGCCTAGAAATATTTTAATACGTTGCTGTATTTTATGGTTTTAATATGTTCTTTTAATATTGCACTTTTAATACCTTGTTTTCATTTTATGTTTTTAATCATATACTTGCCCTATTTTGGGATTTTTATTGTAGCAACAAATGTTATTAAATATTGAAGGCACTGAAGAATCTATTAATATTTAATGCTGGGAATCAACAGCCTTTTAAACTGTGTTGGTTTTAAAAGGAAAAGAGCCATGGTCAATGATAGCATTATTATTACAAGTATTATTATTTTTAAAGGGAAAATTAATATGTTTGTTTTAGTAATAAGCAATACATTTTATAGAGTAGAATCCACTTCATCAGATGAATATTACACATCTGATAAAATGGACTCTAATACAGAAAGCGTATGTCTTAATAAATTTGATCATAGTGCTACTAAAGACACTTTTTGCTTCATGTACTTCTCTGCAAAAATCTAGGTCCAATCTTGCCCATGTTTAATCTTTAAACGTCAACATTTATCAATGGGATTATCATATAAATATGTTAAATATATCAACCACTCTCTAGTACAATTTAAGCATCATAATATCTTCTAAAATTTCTTTCTTTAAGAAAAAAACATGCCTATTATTATTGATAATTTCTTTCTATAATTCAGTTTCAGTGACTAG